TAGATGTGTTAAGCGAGGAGAGAAAGTTTTATATAAGGAGAAAACATTCAAGAGAAAGACAGATAAGAACTAAGACATAACAAGCAAAAAGCTGACTTCGCTACCTTTGGCTTGGCTAACTAGGAAGGATGAAGGGTCGAAGTGGCCATATGAAATGAGACAAGTATCATGGTATGTGGTTTCGGACGCTGATCTCGAATCTTCTTCCCAAATCTGCCAAACGATTCGCTGAACGGAGTTACGGAGGTTTTTTGTTCCCTCACACAGTTTAACACAGTGAGAAATCGGCCTCAGCAGCAGCGGCTTGTGAACGAAGCAGTGAGCCTCCGGATTGCGTGCTGGTGGCATAGTGGGTAAGGCGATGGGCTTGGAATCTTTGGGGTCTGTGGTTCGGACCTGTTGAGCGGTGATTCTATTTGGCATTTTTGTGACTGACTATTTGGCAGTAGTGAAACATGATTCCTTCATCATTGGTCAGCCCTACTTGCTTTTGAATGAGTCTGAGGTCGATAACTTCGAAATTTTTCCTAACTTGCATGCCACTACATAAGGTTAAGGCGCGCCAGTATACGGAGCGCGCGCTTCAGCCGTTTTTGAGTGAACGAATGTGAGATCTGTGCTTCAACCCACTGGGCGTCAATTTCTAAAAAATCGAGATTTTGAATTAACTCCAAAGAAATTGGGCGAGTCACTCATTTGATGCTACATATTCATAGCCGCTAGTTCCAGGGATTGACCTATTTTGGACGACGGTGACCCTTTGAATTTGAAAATAATAAAATGTGGGAGTTGAAATCATGCGAACAGAGAATCACTGCTTTACACTCTTCAGAAACCAAAAAAAACTTATATCGTCTCAAGGCTATATAGGCTTCGATGATAGGCTGATGGATGAATGGATAGATACCCACCAGCTTATTTCGAAATTTGGTCGAAATCTCAAATTTGGCTACAAACTTGTCCCTAGGGGTATTTTAATCTCCGGAACACGAATATCACACTTGTTTGCTGCAAAAACGTCTGCCAAGAGTTCTGTGGGCTCCATGTGCAGTCTTTAGTAAGTACCGCCGAAACTGATTAGAAACTCCTCGCAAAGTCTTTGCACGGTAACTACAGGCAAGCATTGATGATCGAGGTAATAAGGTAGCTGGGAGCCTTTTCAATCATTTTGCAGCGAAGGCAAAAAAGAGAACCCGCCAGGGAATCGATCCTACGACGTCTCGCACGTGAACCCGGACTACTACCGCTGCACTACTTTCCTTCATAACTCCATTCGGAAAATCGTTTGGCAGATTTGGAAAGCAGATTCGAGATCAGCGTCCAAAAACGCATCCACGGTGTAGGTCTCTTTACATATGGCCACTTCGACCAACCATCCGTTCCTGGTAAGCATTTCGGAATTCTGTCTCGGTTTTCGCGGTGATCCCTATCATTAACTGAAGTCGAAGTTGCGTGGTGGCGGGACTTCTTCAAGGAGGATATGGAACTTAAAAGAACTAAGGATGCCTTTTTTGTTTTTGACATGAGAGCACAATTTAAAAGAATGGGATGCTTTTCTATCAAAGGGGGTTCTAGTATGCTTGATTGTAAGGCAAAGAAGGTCGTCCGTTCGACCCAGACCTGCTCCTTTTGACGGCGCAAAAGTTTGGTCGATGTCAGACTTTGCGATTCGAGCGATTCGCTACTAGCGATTCGCTAGCGTCCGCGGTCGCGTTGCGGTACCAGCCAATTGAGTGATTCACTGGCCGCGACGCGACCGCAGACGCTAGCGAATCGCGCGATTCGCAAAGTCTGACATCGGCCTTTCATTGCCTTTTTCAGGCATATTTCGAAACTCAATGGCGGATTCCTATGCACTATCTTAAAACGTGGAACTGATAACCATAAAACAGTTTTATCGAGCAAATCAAAATCTTACGAAGAATGTTGGGATGGCTGTATCATTAGCACAAATAGGTTGGGCGAATTTTTCTAAAAAACCAGCAGAAAATTTTCTGGATTTCCAAGCTGCAGGCTGGAGCTTATGGCAAATTCGCGCTTATATTTGACTAGTTTTCCATCTGGAATTTCGCGGAAACATCATAAATTGGAAGTTTTTGGATGATTCGTGGGTGACTGTGTAATTGCATATAACCAGCGGTGCATGTCAACCATCCCTTTCCCTCGGCGCCACCACACCATCTGTGTCGACAATATAACCATACCCCAATCAGATCGAGTACGGGGTCAAGTGAGCACACCCAAAGCGGGGTCCGTACGCCCTCACATCCTCCCATAAGGCAATATGGCATTAGTTGGCGTGTATTCACGACAAACATCACATAATACTTTATTATTTCCTACATGATTTGTTGTCCAGTTTAGGATTGCCACTTATACTTACTCTAGCTGACAGTTAATACTAAGATTCTCCCTATAATCACCTTCACATATCACAAGACGGTTTAGACAGCCGACGAGTTTGTGTTACCGTAACCGTGATTTGTGCACTGGGGCGCGGAATTGTACTAGAGTATGAAATCAGTATACTGTAAAGCACAATCGTCTTTCTTATCCATTGTATTATGTATTTGATTTCAAGAATAATTTTTTGGAGTTTCCCTCCATTGAACAAATATAAATTCATACTTGATATTCATTCGGGACAACATAAGCTCATTTTCCGTTCCGTTTATTCATTCGTTTCATCGATAGCGCTTGCGTGGAAGAAGATTCGAGATGAATAGTTTGTTTTATACCGTCTTGTTATTGAGTTACCCCCACAAAGGACTTTGCACAAATCCATAGGAATAGCAGATTTTTGAAAGTTTGAAAACTCTGGATGACGAATAAACTCGAACCATGCAAATGAATACAGTAAGCATTACAAACAGCTGTGAACAAAAGGATATCGTAATTAGCCGCATCGTTGTAAATGTTGATGATAGAAACTTATTATAGTTCGAGGAATACTAACGCATCACGAGTCCACCGAGTTTTCTAATAAACAGACCTAGAATTCTCATATCTCCTTGGATTACTTGTTCCACCCGAAAAACAGAGCGAGTCTTGTGAGAAATCACCTTTAAAATGCTTACTTCAGCCTTTTTTCATTGAACATCTTGAGGTCGTACCCATGACCTCATCAAAATAAATAAAATCCCTTTGCCATGAAAATCGATTGGACGCAAAGGAACACAGTGACCTCGTCCAGAGATTACAAGTTATGGTAGAATTTCCGTCCACTCACTAATTCTCCTTCAAAAATGTAATAATGCTCCCAGATTTGTGAAAACCTATGTAGCGTGAATGTGTGCACCGTGATGCGCCTTCATTTTTCGTTATTGGCATCGTAAGGTAACGCGCTCCATTCACGATCGCAACGTCCACTTTGCGCGCGTGATTTGGTTTGCAACGAAGGCTATTCTCATGAAGGTTTTTTTAGTGGGATTCATTTTTGCTACGAATTGCTGGTATTGTTGAGCGTCCAGTGTTAATAGTGAACTTTTCGAATTGATATCTATATGTTAGAGTTCATGGGTGTACTGTTTTGTTTCAGTTTTATGGTCGATGGGGAAACGTGTTAAGCTTCCGGCCAGCAATGAAGCAGAAATCCCGAAAATTGTTGACCAGTTGTGCACACCCGACAAAAGCAGGTCAGGTTCATTTTCTGCACGTTTGTTCAATATTCCTTATTGTTTTGCATTGTTAATTAAAACCTTGCTAAACGCGATGGAAAAGCAGTATTCAAAAATCCGGCTGCCAAACTAGTTCTGGAGAATGGGAGGATAAGCTACTCTTTATAGAAGGGCTCCGTTCCAATCCCACCGTACCCCGGTTTGTGGTTGGACCATTGTGGTACCATAGGTACTGCCGTTTAAATTATTCTCGCGCGCTGGTGCTGGAATGCAACAGATTGTCTCTTAGCACTTCAATATTTCATGTATATTGTAGCGCCAATATACTGTTTTCAAGAATGGGCGCATTGTGGCTTGGCGGGGGGCGGGACTCTGAAAAAAAAACGCTAGGGGTTAGCCTAGACAGCAGGGACCAACTTCAGAGAATAAGCTAATCGCTTCCTCACACCGGAGTCCCTCCCCTCCTGAAACTGAGCGTTTCCGTGATCCCGACGCGATGTTGCGTGGTCCGCGCAAAATTGCGCTCAGGAATGGAATCATATAAACCTTGAATGGAACGGTGAAACTCGGGTTCGGGGGCCGCGCGATGGCCCGACACTCTGTTTTGTCTGCTTCAGGGCTTAGTTTACAGGGACAGTTACTCTTTCGCTATTATGTGGCAGTTTCAAAATACGCGCCATTGGTGACTAAGCCTTTGTAGAGCAGAACGAAAACAGCGCCGCCCCATCGCGTGCCCCCCTCCCGAACGAGTTTCACGAAAGGAACTGCCACTGACGACCATTCAATAAGGAGTAAGGCCGCGTTCATAGTTCGCAACTCCGAAGTCGCAAACTCGAAGATTAGGATAGTACGCGACAATGAAAAACATATGTATTGACGGCGAGATTAGGATAGTAGTAGAGTAGGAGATTGCGCTGACAAGATTAGATACGTATCGATTGAAATCGCTGGAGAGTAGTAGATTGCGATATTACGATAGTAGGATAGTAGTAGAGTAGGAGATTAGGATAGTAGTAGATTAGGATAGTGCGCTGACAAGATTAGATATGTATTGATCTATTCGCTTGAAGTCGCCCAATCTACTACTCTCCAGCGATTTCAATCGATACGTATCCAATCTTGTCACGCTGAAGTACGAAGTGATTACATGTTATGATAAGAGTTTTCGTTCGAAGATAAGTCGGATCTCTAGATAGCTTCCAAGATCAAGGTCCTTTATATACTTGTAGTCTAATCTAGAACCATTTCGCCTGATGGTGACCTCGAGTGGGCTGGGCTTAGATTTGATTCCAAATAATGACATCACTTGTCGCCTCTTCACCGTACTTTGCTCCATCTTATGTCTGAATTTTTTTAGGTAGGCGACATCGCTCAGTACGCGGATTCGTTATGATGTGCTTCTCGAAAGGTCTTGGTGCACCGGTCGGTTCAATACTTGTTGGATCAAAAACGTTCATCGACAAGGCTAGGCGAAGTCGGAAGGTTTGCTATACTTTCTTGCACGACACGAAGACGTGCCTCCCCTATATCATAGGGATATAATAGCGGTCATCTATTTCGTTTCACTAACGCCGCTCAAAGGATTTTTATCTAAAAATGGAGCCCACATTCGCTCATTGCCGCATCTCTGGCGCAGAAGGAATTGAATGCGCCATTTCACTCCTGCATACGGTGATGTCTTCTCATTAAGCCACTGTTTGACCGAAAAAGGGTTCGTTACACTATGTATGTTCGCTGCACCCTTCAGTGTGTCCCTCGTCTTGAACGCCAAAGGTGAGGGACCCACCAATAGTGGGACCACAGCGCCTTATAAGAATGTTCTAGTCTGGCGTGGAAACTACCTTTAAATCGGGCCTAAAAGGATTTCTTTCTAAGATTCTGTCTACTTTTTCCAGTCTCAGCTAGCTTATATTATGGTCAGCCAGGGCCAAGCTCAATGTTGGACAAAATTTTGACCCCCTACCCACCATCCCATCAAGTTCACCACTTCTACTATTGCTATGGTAATTAGGAGGGGAAGTGAGGGTTTGATATAACTGTTGAGATGACATATTCTACTGATTTTCCATACTTCACCAGTAGAGAGCCCACCAAGCCCTTTTCTTTCGCGTCTACGATCACCTACACATCGGCGCTTAAAGGCACGCTCCGCGATCAGGCGGGCTCGCCTGTTCCATCCAGGGGGTAGTAGGCAGGTGGACAAGTGTTGATGTCGGGCCCCTTTTGCGGCTTGAAAGTACGCGACAAAGGCGCAAGGAGCTCGTCCAACCCGCAACTCACACCTTCGTCCGCAAGCCCCACCCTTCGCTGTCGGTTGCCACGTGGCGCTGCTTGAAAAGCGCGGGCGCATTTGAGGCAGTGGTCCCAGCGCGATCCAATGTTATTGACACTAGAGCAAGTTGAGTTAGGTTTGTGAAACTCTTCTCAATCCCAAAGGGGAGGTATCTGTACGGGGCGTAATCGGTGGTTTCGTTTGCTTTCCCTTCTCTTTTACAGACCACCTCCCACCTATAGCTTCATAACTGAACGCTTTTCCACACCTATTTTATCCCGAATCTTGCCTTTAATGTGAATGTGATATGAAATACAACCTTATCTTCCAAAAAAAAACAAATAAAACCGTTCACTTGTTGATTACCAACAGACGGTTGCCCTGGTCTCAAACACGGGTCCATATTTGGGCATTCAAGCATATTTCGTCAACCGCGTCGCAATACACTTACGATTTTTTGTGAGCCAGCTTGGGTAACTGGTAAAACCATCGCGCGATACCGCGATCACAATCGAACGCAATCTCCGCGACAGAGAGTGCAGTGCGGACGTTGTTGGGCCTGCTTATCCCTCCAACCTATATCGCTATACTTCAGGCAGTGGGTGGTGGATGGCGACAAGCTGGTGTACTAGCGGCTGCAGCACATAGCACATATTGCTTCTGGACAAAGCAGAGGATACCATAAAAAGAGACCATGCCAACGCAAAGAAACTTGCCTCTGGTATCAATGCGATAACACCGGAAGAACTTAAACATGTACGTTTACGGGGAGGGGGAGAAGCTTCAACCGCAGCATTCAGTACTGAAGTGGAATGTTTCAGACCATCCACGCTCCAGATGTCGGAATTACGAACATGGTCATATTAAAATGTTGCAACGGTGTATCTCCAATACAGGTGAGTTGGAAATAATGTCAAAGTCCGGCGTTGATTAGTCCCTTTTGGGAATGCGCCACGCATTCGACTTCCATCGAATCATCGTAGGGCATTTGAATGCAGATCCGGCCTATGCGAAATGCAGGATCTAGTTCACATATAACTCGGGGGGGGGGGTTATCGTGCCAGACGAGTCAGCTTTAATTTGTCGACTCACGCTGATCAGCGTTTGATTTGGTCAGAAATTGGTTCAAGACTAATTCCCTTTTTCGAGTAATAGCAGCACCATTTGTGTCACTGTCCCATCTCCGCTCATCTAATGTGTCACCCCCAGGATACTGCTTCACCATTCGGGGAAAAATCGAATATTCGCATTGTTTGATTCCTCCCATATTTTCAAGGGCTAAAGTGGTTACGGATGGAGGCCCTGCATCATACAAGTACAGTTTATCTGATAGAATATTGTCCAAGCTCACGGAGCCTTCCATTTTCCGAGATCAGCACAGTGTAGATTTTGAAGCAGCAACTCTAAAGGAAAGCCACATCCTTCTGTCACTGCACTCACACAGAGCGCATTCAAATTGAATAGTGAATGGGAGAAGAGTGTATGGCCTTACGGCAATTTAAGATGATAAAATATGGAAGCAAAGGTGTCAAATGGTGCAAAAGGGACGAAGAAAATAGAAGAAACCTGAGCCTAATGTACCTCCACGGAAGGGGGGGGGCGGGGGAGGGCAGTCCTTAGGAAGGCGATTAGGACTAAGCCAAACGGAGAAGGACGAATTTTCGGGAGATTGGGAATGCTTGCGCACCTCCGAGTCCTTTTCTCCTCTGAGGCTCAGTTCCAAGAAAAAGAGTCCTTCCGTGAATCTGGCGCAATGCTACGAGACCACTATCCTCCCTACCCCCCTCACCCGCCAGGGCCACACTGCGCCGAAACCTGTAATAAACGATTAGATTAGGAGATGCGTTTGAAATATTTGTAATTTGGATCGGACGTGCACTTCTGAA